ACAAACAGAAAACTTTTCTACTTATATGCAAACATTATGATAGGGATCTGTAATACAAAAACAGATTAGTAATATTCAAACAGAAATCACCATTTTGAGGGCCATTTTCTTAAAAGTTTCTAATTAAAATGGTCCTTATGTTCCCAACAGTATCTTGGAGCCATCATGCACCTCTTAACTGGCATTTGGGCAGTCTCAGCTCAAATTTCAACATATTTTCTGATACAGTGAAAAACATCTTCTGTATTTATCTTTATTGGAGCTTTGCTTTACTCAGGGTTATTTCTGTTATACCTGTGATTTTTATCCTACTGGATACAAATAATAAAGACATCAATGCAACAGGCTTAGATTTATGATCCCCTCACTCAAGTTTTTTTTTCCTCTACAGTCTGAAACATCTCCTACTATCTCAAACTCAGTATGACTGAAACTAAACTCCTCACTCTCGCCCTCAGATCCACTTGTCCAGCATCTGCATAGCTTAGATGGTAGTAACAATCATTCTTCCTGTTTTGCAAAATCAAAACCACACAATCATCACGGCTTGGTGGTTAGCAGCCTGGGCTCTGGAATTGAGTGCCTGATCCCACACCTGTGTGAGATCGTGGGCTTGCTATGCCTTAATTTTCATATCTGTTGAATAATAACCACCTCATACGGTAGATGTGAGGAATAGATGAGCCAATGTGGGTAATATATAAATGCATGCTATTCTTATTATTAGTCTACCTCCTAGACTTTCTTCAGTTAAGTTCTACTACCCCTGCCCTAAGGAGCCCTGGTGGTGCAATGGTGAAGCGTTTGACAGCTAACCCGAAAGACTAGAGGTCCAAACCCACAAGCAGCTCCATGGGAGACAAGACCTGGTGATCAGCTCCTGTGAAGATTACATCCTAGGAAACCCTGTGGGGCAGTTTTACTGTCATATAGGGTCACTATGAGTTGGAATTGACTCAATGGCAAACAACAACATCCCTGCCCTAGGTCACAATCCTTTTATCTCACCTGGGTACCACTTATTGCTGTTGTTAGGTGCTGTCGAGTTCGTTCTGACTCCTATCGACCCTATGTACAACAGAACGAAACACTGCCCAGTCCTGCGCCATCCTCATAATTGTTGCTATGCTTGAGCCCATCGTGGCAGCCACTCTGTCAATCCATCTCATCGAGGGTCTTCTCTTTCACTGACCCTCTACTTTACCAAGCATGACGTCCTTCTCCAGGGACTGGTACCTCCTGATAACATGTCCAAAGCATGTGAGACGAAGTCTTGCCATCCTCGTTTCTAAGGGTACCACACTATTCCTTTAATTGCTAAACAGGTCTAACTCCAATCTTACCCCTCTGACATATCACAAATACTAACGCTCTCAGAATTGGTCCTAAACACAAATCCAAGCAAGTCACAGCGATTTTAAAATCTTGTAGTGATTTCCCACTACCTATGAGATAAATTCTCCAGGAAGAGATGTCAGGTGGTAGAATAGAAGAGCTAGCCGTGCATTAATTGCTTGCTGAAGGAGTCAAGTCTGGCCTTTAGTTGCACCTCTGTAACTAATTAGCTATGACCTCATCTGGTCACTGACTTTACTATTCCTTAAGTTCTGGTTCCAGTTGCTCCTTCTGCTTGAAGCTTTCTGCCTCTACCAACCAGTATCTTCCTGTGGAAATTCTACCCTCTTGACAACATTCAACTTTAATTTCACTTTATTCAAGAAATTTTCTCATCTACACTCACATCCCCATACTCTTAATTTCAGATGAGATTCTTCTATCAGCCCCCTAGTACACTGAGGGTATTCTAAGACTTATCACAATTTTACTCCTCAATCAGTCATCTATCTGTCCAAAAGACTGCAAGCTGACAGACTGTCTAAAAACCTTCTGTCCTTGGCATAGGGCCACAGGCTGTGGCAAGTATTCAACATTTTGAATTCAGACACTCATCAACTTGATAGTCAGAAAGGCGCCTGATGCAAATTTTTTTCTTCTAATTTAAACTTTCCAGACTGGAGTCTCAGGCAAAAGGAACAACTAGAACTAGAACTTCAAGGTGAAAAGTGTAGTCGTAGCTTTGAAACTGCTGATGGAGTGATTTGAAGTAAAGAAACGGAGCTTTTTAAATTTTAGTGGGCAGAACACTAGATTAGAGAATTTGATTTACAACTGGTTTCCTCAAACTATGAATTTTGGACTACCTACATCAAATCAATCTGCAGTGCTTGTTAAAGATGTAGATTTCTTGGCTCCACTCAGACTTTTTGATTTGGCATTTCTAGGGGAGAGGCTTGGGCATCTGCATTTTTATCATGCATCTAGTTTTAAGGTCTTACAAATCAAGTCCATATTTCTTCTAATTGTCATGACAATATTACAATTCAGTAATTTTCCAAGTGTGGTGCACAAACCCCTGAGGGGTCCCTGAGACTTTTTCAAGACTGTTTTCATAATAATACTAGGGTATCATTTGCCTTTTTCACTCTCATTCAACATCTTGCAGTTAGTTTTACATGAGTGACAGCGCGAGAAAGAATGTAGAAGTAGACATGAGAATCTTCTATTAAGCCAGACATTAAAGAGATTTGTAAAAATGTAAAATAATGCCATTCTTCTCCAATCCAAACCAAACCTGTTGCTGTTGAGTTGATTCCGACTCATAAAGGCCCTATAGGACAGAGCAGAACTGCCCCATAGGGTTTCCAAGGAGCCGCTGGTGGATTTGAACTGCCAACCTTCTGGTTGGCAGCCAAGCTCTTAACCACTGCACCACCAGGGCTCCACTGCCATTCTTCTCAATAATTATTTTGGAAAATATTCTTCATAAAAATGTTATTTATAAATGAATTAATAACTATTTTCTAAAGTTGTCAGTTACGTACATACATTTGAGGTTCTCAATAAGTTTTAAAAGCGTAAAAGAATCCTAAGTTCAAAATGTTTGAGAACTGCTGCTATAAGTATTGTCAGCTGCATTTTAAAAATGAGAAAATTAAGACACAGTTAAGTGGCTTACCAAGATTCCATATTTAAGTCCCAATTTTTATGCACCTTCCATTAAACCAAAAAAAACCCCAAACTTGTTGCCGTCAAGTTGATTCCAACTCCTAGCGACCCTATAGGACAGGGTGGAACTGCCCCATAGAGTTTCCAAGGAGTGGCTGGTAGATTCGAACTGCCAGCCTTTTGGTTAGCAGCCGAACGCTTAGCCACTGTGTCACCAGGGCCCTGCACCTTCCATTACAACAGAAAATCGGAGGAAATTATCCATTTTATACTTAGTTTTTTTGTTGTTTGTCTTTTGGATCAGACATGTTTAACAAGTAGATGCACCTAAATTTAGAGAACCACCCATCAAAAGCAATGGAAAATCTCTGAGGGGTTTTAGAAAGTGACAATTATTATATCTATACATCAAAATGATAATCTTGAAGGCATTATACCGCTTTGGAAGACCTGGGCTCTTAAAAGATGCAAGTTTCCAAGTTCCTTCCTCTCTCTGGGACTCAGATTTTCACATCTGTACAATAAGGGTGTCTCTATGGCTTTCTGGTTCTGTCAGTCTGGGTTTTATGTATTCCTACTGCTCAAAGACAACTGAAGAAATGCATCTTTCTGATCAGGGGTCAGGAGTTATCTTAAAATCATAAATCAGAGCATGTCATTCTTCTACTTATTGTTGTGTGCCCTGGAGTTGATTCTGACTTATAGCAACCCTACAGGACACAGTAGAACTATAACATAGGGTTTCCAAGGCTGTATCTTTACAGAAACAGATTGCCAGGTCTTTTCTCCCATGGAGCGGCTGGTGGGTTCAAGCCACCCACCTTTCAGTTAGCAGCGGAGGGCTTAACCACAGCGCCACCAGGGCTCCTCATTCTTCTGCTTAAAAACTGTTATGGATTGAATTGTGTATCAATGTGGTATCAATGTGACTAGGCCATGATTACCAGTATTGTGTGATAGTCCACCATTTTGTCATCTGATGTCATTTTACCATGTGTTGTAAATCCTATCTCTATGATGTTAATGAGGTGGGATTAGGGGCAGTTATGTTAATGGGGCAGCACTCAATCTACAAGATTAAGTCGTGTCTTAAGCCAATCTTTTCTGTGATATAAAAGAGAGAAGCGAGCAGAGAGACGGGGGACCTCATACCACCAAGAAACAAGAGCCAGGAGAATAGCGCGTCTTTTGGACCAGGGGTCCCTGGGCTCAGAAGCTCTTTGACCAGGGAAGATTGATGATAAGGACCTTCCCCCAGAGCCGACAGAGAGAAAGCCTTCCCCTGGAACTGGCACCCTAAATTTAAACTTCTGGCCTCCTAAACTGTAAGAGAATAAATTTCTCTTTGTTAAAGCCATCCACCTGTGGTATTTCTGTTATAGCAGCACTAGACAACCAAAACAGAATTCTTCAATGGTTTTTCATTGCTTTCCAAATAAAAGTCAAACTCCTCGTCCTGGCTCATATGCCTTACAAGATTTGGCCCTTGCCTAAGCCTCTTGCCTCATCTATTTACAGTCTCACCTTGTCCTTATTGTACCATCCATAATGGCCTTTTTTCTTTTCCTTGATCTTTCTAAACTGTTCCCACTATATGGCCTTTGCACTGTCGCTCCCCCTGCCTGGAATGCTCTTTTCCAGATCTTCATGTGGCTTACTTCCCCATTTCATTCGGTCACATATTCTCTAAAGCATTTACTATCATCTTACATAATTCTGTTTGTTTGTTGAATTGTTTATATTCTGCCTCGCCCCACTAGAATGTCAGCTTCTTGAGAGCAGGGTCTTTGCCTTGCTAGTTCACCACTGTGTCCCCAAAGTCCAGGGTAGTGCCTGGCAGGTGGCTGGCGCTCAGTAAATGTTCGATGACTGAACCCTTGCGACCCAGGTCAGACCTTCAAAAGCACGGCGGACATCCCCGCTTCCTTCACGTCGGACCCCATCCCGGAGCTTGGACCCACGCCTCAGCACCCAGAGTCCGAACCCGCACTCACCGGACCAACGCCGAGCTCCTTCCGACAAGAGCAGCTGCTCGATCCGGAAGTGCTCTCGGGCAGGCCAGGCGGCCTCTGCGCTGAAGGAGTACTTCCGGGACAGTACGAGCGGCGCGGCGGCGGTGCCTGCGGTGGTGAGGCTGGAGGCTTACTGGGTGCGGGGCTTCCCGGGATAAGGCAGGAGGGGCGCGGTGCTCCCGGGCCGGGTCTGTCAGCCGAGAATTCCGGGGAGTGGCCGGAAGGGGCCTGGGCGTGGGCCGTGGGCACTTCACGTCTGGATGCGGAGGCTCTGAAAGCGCTTTGATTGTTGCAGCGCTACGTTTGTGTGAGAAATTTTCGTCATTGTCCGGGTCAGAGAACTTAGTTATTAGGGCATGTTTACATCTGGTCTCCGTTTTGAGACTTGTTCTTGTAAGTGGGAAGAAGTGAGAACACATGCTTGTCCGTTTAGAGACCATACGATAGTAAAATAACGATATTGATGACAGTGGTAATATAAACAAACACCACCACAAACATGACCGGGTTCTGTGCCAGTCGTTGTTCCAAGCTCCTTCCATATCCTGTGAGGTAGATATTAACATCTCAGTTTTACAGATGAGGAAACCGAGACGCAGATGAGTAAACTTTTTCACAGTCACTGTAGTACAGAGTTGGAAGATTGTCAGTCTAAATTCCAGAGCCACTCTTAGCCACTAAGTTACACCACTCTCCATTTTAGTAACTGCGGCTGGGAAGTGTATGCATTTTTTTTTTTTTTTAATATGACTCAGCCATTTAGTTTTAATGTTCCAATTGCCTCAGTCTTTCTCCTTAGTTATGAAAATAACACATACTTACTAAAGAAAACCGGAAAACTTAAAAAAAAAAAATCAAATACAGGCAATTACATGGTTTTTTGTTTGTTTTTGTTGTACCTGCTAGATTATAAATCCCTTGAGGACAAGGATAATACAGACATTCTAATAACGATGGTAATAGTAATGATGGTAATGATAATATAAACAGCTATCACCACAAAATATTCTCTTCTGGCCTAGCTCAGCATCTGACACATCCTAGATGCTCATTAAATCTTTGTTGCACAAATGAAAGAATAGAGATAACCAATATTTAATATTTTGGAGTATGTCCTAGTATTTTGTAAAATTGTATGAATTACATGTATATTATGTGTTGTAACCTGGAGAGAGCATAAGGAGTGTAAAAATTTTTTTCTTAAGTACCTTATCTAATCAATTCCACAAAACATTGAACTTTGTGGGAGAACTGTGTAGTCTTTTCTATTAGATAGGCCTTTGGAGTGAGTATGACAGAAATTGTGTCTTAAATTAGTCCTCTATTTCCAGGGCTGCTTACATAGTAAGTACTCAAAAAATGTTTGCATGTGAGTTAATGAGTATTTCAGAACTGGTTAATATGTCTATGGGTAGTTGTGTCTGGAATGTTTTTCTTTATCTGCTTTGGGGATATACAGTATAGGTACCAGTATATCATATACCCATATTGTTGTCCTTTCTAGCCTGGTGCCTCCCCATCATCTTTCTCCCTGCCACATTAACTACTCTTATTATCTGCCCATATCCCATACTGTCACATTTAGACCTTTGAGCTTTTGCGTGTGCTCTTCCTACACTTCTGAATTCTCTCTTTGTCATCTTCATCTGTCAAAATCCTATGTACCCCTTAAGGCAGGTGTTGCAAACTCAGGTTCCTACAGAGGCTAATTGTTGTTGATGGGTGCCTTGGAGTCGATTTTGACTCATAGTGACCCATGTTACAGAGTCGAACGGCCCCATAGGGTTTTCTTGCCTGTAATCTTTACAGAAGCAAACTGCCACATCTTTCTCCCGCAGAGCCAACCTTTCAGTTAGCAGCCCAGCGCTTAACCATTTGTGCCATCAGAGCTCCTCATGGGCTAATTAGCTTACTAAAAGAATGAAGTGAATTTGGGTGCAGATTGTTGGGAACTGAAGAGCACTGCCCCGATTAAAGGGCTTAGCAGCTATTTGGCACCAGCTAGATTTGGTTTTGGTTTAGTTATTCCAGACAAGGACACCTGGTGGCACAGTGGCTAAGCACTCAGCTGCTAACTGAAAGGTTGGTGATTCGAACCCACCAGGTGCTGTACTGGAGAAAGATGTGGTAGTCTGCTTCTGTAAAGATTACAGCCTTGGAAACCCTATGGGGCAGTTTTTCTCTGCCCTATAGAGTCACTAGGAGTTGGAATCACCTTGACAGCAATGGGTGGTTATTACCAGGAGTCCCTGGGCAGGGAAAACAGTTAAGCACTGGGCTACTAACTGAAAGGTTGGTGGTTTGAATCCACCTAGCAGCACCTTGGAGGAAAATCCTTGTGATCTGCTTCTGAAAGATCACAGCCATTGAAAGCCCTATAGAGTACAATTCTACACTTGTGAGGTTGCCATGTGTCAAAGTCGACTCTGTGGCAGCTGGCTTACTTATTACCAAGTCAAATGTGGGCTCAGTGTTGCCGATCTTTATTTGTACATGAAATCTGATTTTTAAATGTTAGCAACTAATTTTTTAAAAAGTTTAAATATATTGTAAGCCAAATGAAAACACCTGTTGCCTGGATTTGGCATTCAGATTCCTAGTTTGTGACCACTGCTCTAGGCTTATTTCATATACAGTAAAACCTGTGAAAGCCAGAACATGTGTAAGGCAGAAACCTGTCAGAGAAGGAAAACTAAAATGTTTTCCACTAACAGAGAGCAATAGAAAAATAGTAAGACTGCACTTTGTCAAAGGCAGAAAATTTGGGACCTGAAAGCAAGGTAGTCCCATCGAGTTCTGGCTCTCACAGGTTTCACTGTACATTGTGAATCTTAAATTCCCTGATTCTGACAGGCTCAGTGATTAAACAGTCAGCTGCTAACTGAAAGGTTAGCAATTCGAATTTACCAGGTGCTCCAAGGAAGAAAGATGTGGCAGTCTGCTTCTATAAAGATTACAGCCTGCGAAACCTTATGAGGCAGTTCTGCTCTGTCCTATAGGGTTGCTATGAGTCAAAATTGACTCAATGGCAACGAATTTCATTCTAACTGACTTATCCTCGCAATTTGTGCATGTTTGAATTATAATACTTTTTTCAGATTGCTTTAATTGTTAATATGTCTCTTTTCTAGTGCATTAGAAATATTTTGATGGCATGGATTGGGTCTAATTCCTGTTTAGATTGGTATAGTGCCTTGCACATAATATCAATATATATAGACCTGAAACATATGTATGTGTTTATATATACCTAAGGCCTTGGTGTGTGTATGTGTGTGTGAATATGTGTGTATGTGTGAGATACATTTATTTCTCGCCTGGCGATAATTGGGTTATCCTGGAAACCAGTATTTGCTCTATGTAGAAGCACCGAAAGTATCTTGACTTCAGTGTGTCAGAGGATGGAGGACTGTACTTCTGGAAGGAGTTGAACTGGTTATCCTTGCTTTTCAAAGCTGGTTTGATATAAATCTTATCTGATGCCTTAAATTTACTAATCTTGTCTCTTTGAAAAATTGAGGTAAAAAACCAAACCAAACCAAACCTGTTGCTGTCCAGTCGATTCTCACTCATAGTGATCCTATAGGACAGAGTAGAACTTCCCCATAGAGTTTCTAAGGCTGTAATCTTTTCAGAAGCAGACTGCCACATCTTTATCCCATGGAGTGGCTGATGAATTTGAACTACTGACCTCTTGGTTAGCAACTGAACGCTTAACTACTGCACAACCAGGGAAGAATGATTAATAATTTCTTTTTTTTTATGTTTTATTGTGCTTTAGGTGACATTTTACAGCGCAAATTATTTCTCATTTAAAAATTTATACATAAATTGTTTTCCATTGAGGAAACTATGTGAAGGGTATATGTCATGTCTCTGTTATTTCATATACGTGCATGTGAATTTATGATAATCTCAGAGTAAAAAAGTTTAGACGAATCATTCATGACAAAAAAGCCTATACAAATAAATTTTTTCTTTGGCTTTTCTTTTACCAGGCAATGTTCTAAGCATGTCGGATAAAGATGATACTGAGACTCCAGTAATAACTGAAGTAACCCCCATTCTCAAGGATGGGAACTGTGAGCCAGCAAAGAGTTCTGAGTCTGTTAACCAAAGCACCAAGCCAGAGAGTAAATCAGGACCTGTAGCTTCCACTCGGAAAAGGCCAGAGGCCAGATCTTCCAATGACTGTGAGACTGCAGAAGTTCTCCCTGTTCAGGCATCACAGGCTGCAGGCAAAGTAGAGTATCTATTAAAATATTGGGGTTAAAAAATGTTGGGAAATTTGGAATCAGTACCAATTTAGTATTATACCTATTTCTTTCCCTTTATGATCATAAAACATAGTTTTCTCAGTTCTAATAAATGCCTTTATGAGTAGTTGCCTTTGCTACATGGTGCTTAAATACTGGTGACATGTATCTGTCAGTAAAGCAGTACATTTCTTTAGCCAGATATTTGTTCACCAGTACTTTTGACTAATAATTAGCTGACTAGTTTATACACTCTGATTCTCTACTAATTTTTCCATTTTCCATATCCTTTTTTTCTCCTGCCTTCTGTTAAAAATAGGAGCCTGTTTCCAAAGAGGTACCTCAGACTGGATGGGGCTATTGGGGCAGCTGGGGCAAGTCCCTTCTCTCCTCAGCCTCAGCTACAGTAGCCACAGTAGGTAAGATCAGCAGTCATTTTATTAATTTTTTTTGTGTATTTTGATACAGATCTGTGTTAAAAACAGTTTTGTTAATATTCCTCTTCCTTCCATATTTACTCAAAGGCTTTGTAGTTTGAGGGTGCATTAGTAATGGTGGGCTGACTTATACTACCACTAGAGTTTGTAGCATTTTCTCGTTAGAAGGCTAAAGTCTAGCAATTGTTAATGTAAAACTACTGTTTGGTGATGACTTAAAACATGACTCAGTTTTATTGTTTTTTTTTTTAATAAGGAGACACCTTAACAGCCTGAGGATTAGTTACATATGGTTCAAAATAACACGTCTTATTATTATAATGATTTAAAAAATCTGCAGGTTTGATCTTTTTTCTCAGTTTAGGCGACTAATAGCAAATAATATTCAAATATAAAAATGTTGCCATTTTTCTCATTAGGACAAGGTATTTCAAATGTCATTGAGAAGGCAGAGACTTCCTTTGGAATCCCAAGTCCCAGTGAAATTTCGGCTCAAGTCCACTATGCGTCAGGTCAGTGTATGGAAACTTTGAGACCTGGAATTTTATATTAAAATGGAACACTTGAGCTCATTTTTCAGTATATATTTGAGTGTCTGTGATATTTAGGGTATCATCAGGGGATTGTGGTGATAAAGAAGATTTGGAATCCTTACTGCCAATTAGAAGGCTGTGTCCTTCAACCATTTATGTTTCTTTGTTTTACTTTCCTCATCTATGAAATGGGGTAATATTTTATATCTGTTTTAAACATTAAACAAATAAGGCCATGAATGAAAACTGTCAAAAGAGCTTAGCATTGTGCCTGGTGCAATTGTGTTACAACCTAATAAGAGTTAGTTGAATTTGGAACTATTGTGGCACAAGAAAATATTTTAATGTATTGGTTTTGGGGGTGTGTTTTTTTGTGTTTGGATTTTTATGAAGGTGAAGTTCAATTCTGGAAGTCCGCCTTGATCAAACAGGAGCCGACTCTAACTTAAACCATAAAGGGCAGGATTAGAACCAGGGATCTGGAGGGCCTGAGACCAGAAAATAGAATGCTTTTTAGGGCCTGGGTTTGCTTTTTTCATCTCTCAGGGGCCTTGCCCCAACTTGTGTTCCTCTCTGTTCATCTGTATCATTTTTCTGAGCAGACTGACTTTCTCTGCTCATCTTTCCCCAACTCCAGCTTTATATTGCATCTCGGTATAACTACCCATAAGAAACTAACTAGCACTAGTTAATTCCACTTCTAAGTTCCCAGGAGAGATCATCCAAGGGATCTAATTCTCCTGGGAATTTAGAAGTGGAAATAACTGGTGTTAGTTAATCCCTGATGGGCATTTATACCTGAACTTGGGTCAGAGTCCCTGGGTGGAGCAAACGTTTAATGTGCTTGGCTGTTAACCAAAAGGTTGGTAGTTTTGAATACAACCAGAGATGCCTGAGAGAAAGACCTGGTGAGCTCCTTCTGAAAAATCAGCCATTAAAAACCCAGTGGAGCACAGTTCTACTCTGACACACATAGGGTCACCATGAGTTGAAGTTGACTCAATGGCAACTTTTTTTTTTTTTAAATTTGGGTCATGTTCTACTCCTGATCTAATCAGCCATAGCCAGGGGATAGAGTCACATTAGGCAAACATGGTTGTATCTGTGTGAGTTGGGGACATTGTTCTTATTGATGTCTGCATCAGTTAGTCTACATTGGTTACAAGTAATAGAATATGCCACCACACGTCTGTCAGTTTGGTGTACTATGGTGCCTTGCATGTTGCTGTAATGCTAGAAGCTATGCCACCGGTATTTCAAATACCAGCAGGATCACCTATGGTGAACAGGTTTTAGTGGGGCTTTCAGACAACACAGACTAGGAAGAAGAACCTGACGATCTACTTCTGAAAACACTGGCCAGTGAAAACCTTATGGATAACAGTGGAACATTGTCTGATATAGTGCTGGAAGATGAGTCTCTCAGGTTGGAAGGCACTCAAAATACCACTGAGGAAGAGCTGCTTCTTCAAAGTAGAGTTGACCTTAGTGATGTGAATGGAGTAAAGCTTTCGGGACCTTCATTTGCTGATGTGGCATGACTCAAAATGAAAAGAAACAGCTGCAAACATCCATTAGAAATTGGAACGTGGAAAGTACAAAGAATGAATCTAGGAAAATTGGAAGTTGTCAAAAATGAAATGGAGTGCTTGAAGATTGATATCCTAGGCATTAGTGAGCTGAAGTGTACTGGTATTGACCATTTTGAATCAGACAATTATATTGTCTAGTATGTTTGGAATAACAAATTGAAGAGGAATGGTGTCGTATTCATTGTCCAAAAGAGCATTTCAAGATCTATGCTGAAATACAGTGCTGTTAGTGACAGGATAATATGCATATGTCTACAAGGAAAACCAGTTAATATGACTGTTATTCAAATTTATGCACCAACCACCAATGCCAAAGATGAAGAAATTGAAGTTTTTTTTTTTTAAACCAACTTCTGCAGTCTGAAATAGATCAAACATGCAATCAAGATGCATTGATAATTACTGGTGATTGGAATGTGAAAGTTGGAAATAAAGAAGAAGCATCAGTAGTTGGAAAATATGGCCTTGGTGATAGAAACAATCCTGGAGATCACATGATAGAATTTTGTAAGACCAATGACTTAATCATTGGAAATACTTTTTTCAGCAGCATAAATGGTGACTATACACGTGGATGTCACCAGATGGAGTACACATGAATCAAATTGACTACATGGTGGAAAGATATGGGAGAAGCTCAGTATCATCAGTTAGAACAGGGCCAGGGGCCAACTGTGGGACAGACCATCAATTGCTCATATGCAAGTTCAAGTTGGAGCTAGAAAATTAAAACAGGTCCATGAGACCAAAGTGTGACCTTGCGTATATCCCACCAGAATTTAGAGACCATTTCAAGAATAGATTTGACGCATTGAACACTAATAACAGAAGACCAGACGAGTTGTGGAATGACATCAAGGACATCATACATGAAGAAAGCAAAAGGTCATTAAAAAGACAAGAGAGAAAGAAAAGACCAAAATGGAAGTCAGAAGAGACTCTGAAACTTGCTCTTGAATGTAGGATAGCTAAAGTGACTAGAAGAGATCCATTGACCAAGAGGCAGTCGTTGGAACGGAACAAGGGGATACTGCGTGGTTTAAAATCAGAAAAGGTGTGCATCAGGTTGTATCCTTTCACCATACTTATTCAATCTGTATGCTGAGCAAATAATCCAAGAAGCTGGACTATATGAAGAAGAACGTGTCATCAGGATTGGAGGAAGACTCCTTAAAAACCTGCAATATGTGGATGACACAGCCTTGCTTACTGAAATTGAAGAGGACTTGAAGCACTTACTGATGAAGATCAAAGACTACAGCCTTCAGTATGGATTACACCTCAACAGAAAGAAAACAAAAACCCTCACGACTGAACCAATAAGCAACATCATGATAAACAGAGAAAAGTTTGAAGTTGTCAAGGATTTCATGTTACTTGGATCCACAATCAATGCCCATGGAAGCAGCAGTCAAGAAAGCAAATGATGTATTGCACTGGGGAAACTCTGCTGCAAACAACCTCTTTAAAGTGTTAAAAAGCAAAGATGTCACTTTGAGGACTAAGGTGCACCTGACTCAAGCCATGATATTTTCAGTCACCTCATATGTATGTGAAAGCTGAACAATGAATAAGGAAGACTGAAGAAGAATTGATGCATTTGACTTATGGTGTTGGTGAAGAATATTGAATATACCTTGGACTGCCAGAAGAATGAACAAATCTGTCTTGGAAGAAGCACATCCAGAATGCTCCTCAGAAGTGAGAATATTGAGACTTCGTCTCACGTACTTTGGACATGTTATCAGGAGGGACTAGTCCCTGGAGAAGGACATCATGCTTGATAAAGTAGAGGGTCAGCGTAAAAGAGGAAGACCCTGAACAAGATGGATTGACACTGGCTGCAACGATAGGCTCAAACATAGCAACGATTGTGAGGATGGCACAGACCAGGCAGTGTTTCGTTCTGTTGTACATAGGGTCGCTATGAGTTGGAACTGACTCCACAGCACCTAACAACAACAACAGTAGAATATGTGACTAAGAGAGAGCTGATTGGTTATAAGTAATAGAATATATGACCAAGAATGAGTTGATTTTTCTCACATAACAAGAACTCCAGAGACAGATTGTTCTAGAGTTAGTTTAGTGTCTCGATGTTAGTGTTCTGGACTGGCTTCTTCACAATTTTCTTTGCTGTCTCTTCATAGTTGCCAGATAACTGTCTCAGTTCCAAGCATAGTATTTTAATACAGTTGTGCTCAAAGTGAAGAAGTAAGTGGTTTGAAAGTGTCATTTCTTCTCATGCATCTCTCTCCCTTTAAATAGAGGAAATTTTTTTCCCAGCAGTTCCCAGCATATTTCTCTTCAGATTCAATAAATAGAACAGGGTCTAATGTTTATGCCAATGCAGCAAGAGATGCTGGGAGAGTGAGTTTCTGGCATTGTCAGAAATCTCTCTATTGAGATGGACTCAGTAGGTAAGAAAGAAGAAAGTTAGAAGGGCCTTGAATAGGTAAACAGCAGTGCCTTCCATAATACCGAAAAGACATCTACTACACAGAGCCATGCTTTGAGAAAGACATTGAAAAAGCAGAGTGAGTCCTGAAGGGTGAACTAGATACTAGTGAAAGATCTAGAATTAATATCTTATAAGAGAAATTTGAAGGCACTATGAGTGTTGAATCTGGAAATCTGGCGAAGGGAGATGGGGAGAATATGCCAGTTCTCTTCAGATATCTGAAGACTGGCATGGGGAAGAGGGCTTAGGTTTATTCTTTGTGGCTCACGAGGAGAGAGCTAGTACCACTCAGTGAAAGTTACATGGACTTAGATTTTAGTTCAGTAAAGAGTTTAACAGTGAGAACTTTCCAAAATTATAATGAACTGCCTAATGATAGGAAACCTGGTGATGTAGTGGTTAAGAGGTATGGCTGCAAACCAAAAGGTCAGCAGTTCACATCTACCAGCTGCTCCTTAGAAACCCCATGGGGCAGTTCTGTTCTGTCCTGTAGGGTTGCTATGAGTCGGAATTGACTCCATGGCAACGGGCTTTTTACAGGCCTTATGATAATAAGTCCCCCTCCCCCCATCTCCTAAAGTTCCTGAGGGAAGATGGGAAGAGAACTTGAGGTAAGCAGATGCCTCCAGTGGAAATCATTCCATCACCTTTTAGGGATGGGGTGGGAGGTAGAGTGTTTGATTCAAAGATGGTGTTTGAATATACTTTTTAAATGACAGAGAAGATCAGTAGTAGAAGTAAGAAGAAATAGTCTGGATCAAGATTCAGACTGGTATTACACAGACGAGTTCGTTGCGGGTTTACCTGTCAAGTACCTATCTTTTTGCTTTTATGCTATGAGTCCCATAGTCCTTCACCATTATAAAACTAGGGGGAAATGCTAAATGAGTACATTAGTAGGTTGAAGAATAAACCATGTTTAATGCTTGTGCTTGCATCAAATGCTCATTTCCTTCTTTAGAGTAGTTACGCATTATCTTTAGCTTCAGAGATCAAAGATAGTGTAGGAAGATTATTTTTTCTAAAGGAAATCCAACAGATTAATTCCAGCAAAAATTTCTTGAGTACCTACCCAGTGCCAGGCACTGTTTTAAGTGCTGGGAAGATAGCAGTGAATACACCCAAAAAGTTCTTTATCTCAATGGTAAAGTGAAATGAAGAAAAGGTGAAAGGAAAGAGTTAGTGCCTTTCATGGGCAACACACAGTGCCTGGTGACGTGAGAACTTGGAAATGAGTTAGACAAAGAACCTGTCCTCAGGACATTTTGGATCTAATGGGTGAACCCATTCAGGAAAGAACTATCCAGAGCACTAAACTAGTTGCCCTTGAGTTGATTTCAACTCATGGTGACCCTATGGGTTTTCAGTGGCTGATTTTTAGGAATAGATCACCAGGCCTTTCTTCTGAGGCTCCCCTGGGTGGAGTTAAACCACCAGTCTTTTGGCTGCCAGCTTTTCACCAAACCTGTTGACTCACCAGAGCACAAATCAGGCGAAATTAAATGTTGTGGTTGAGGTTCAAGCAAAGGGCTGTGGGAACTCCAAGCAATTGTTTCCATGAAGGAAAATACACAAGTTGAATCTTGAAAATGGGTATGGTTTTGATAGATGGAGAAGCTGGGATGCAGGAATTTTGAGTTGAGGGAACAGCATGAATAAAAAAAGTAAAAGAGCATGAGGATGTTGGTGAAGAGTGAGGCCAAGGATTTGTGTAGGCATAGAGAGAGATAAGCCCGAAAAGTGGGTTCCATGTTAGATTTCTTTGTTTTTCAAAATGAAAATAGCATTTTTTTTTCAGATTTGGAAAATAATAATGCTCATTGCAGAAAAAAAGTAGACAAAAAGTAGAAAGCTATAAACAAGTAAATGAAAATCTTCTGATTCTACACATAAATAACATTTTGTTATATATCATTCCAGATATTTTTGTGCATGCACACACACACGCACACACACATACATCTGTGAATCATACTTTCCATGTTTTTTGTAACCTGTTTTTTAAACCTATCATATTCTATGCCAGTAATATGCCTACATCAGTATTTTAATGACTTCAGACAATTCCATTTGTATAGATATATTTTAAATGTATTTAAATACATTTTTTACCATTATGAACAACACTGCATTTGACATTCTTATGCATACGTCCTTGTGTAATTATTTCTTTGATAGAAAATATTAAACTTGGAATTGCTGAGCTGTAGAGCACTCACAGATAAAATTTAGATACAATTTGCCAGATTACTGTCTAAACAATTTTCTTTTTGGAGCAAAAAGGGAAAGGCTTTTTCCCATTTCTACCCCTGAATGTGAAAAAGTTGAGGGAGAAGTCTTTTTTATTTATTCACATAATTACAATTTTTGGTACTCTTCATTCCTTTGTGTAGATCCAAGTTTTCCTCTGGTATCATTTTCCTTCAACTTTAAGAATTTCCTTTAATATTTCTTGTTACTGCAGATGTGCTGGCAGTGAATTCTCTAAGATTTAGTTTGATTGAAATGTTATTTTGCGTTCATTTTTGAAGAATATTTTCTTATAGAATTTTAGGTTGGCAGTTTTTTTTTTCCTTTTAGCACTTAAAAAGTATCACTGCATTGTGTTCTGACTTGCATTGTTTCTGATGAGAAGTCAAAAGCATTTTTATCTTTCTTTTTCTGTATGTAATGTGTCTTTTTCTCTGGTTGCTTTTACAGTTTTCTTTTTATCCCTGTTTTTTACCATTTCTTTGTGTTTATCCTGCTTGAGATTGGATGAACGTCTTAATTTGTGGGTTTATAATTTTAATCAGATTTGAAAAATTTCAGTCATTATTTCTTTAAATAATTTTTAAAATAATTTTTCTTCACACTACTGTTTTCTCCTGGTACTCCACTTGCTTGTATCTGAGGCTTTGTTCATTTTTTTGGCCTTTTTTGTCTTTCTGTTTCAGTTGTTTAGCTTTTATTGTTACTGATCCTCTGCTGTGTCTAATACTGGCAAACCCACTTAATGACTTTTTAATTTTAGATATTATGTCTTTCCAACTCCAGAAATTCCATTTGGTTCTTTTTTTTTATATCTTCTACTTCTCACCTTATTATGTTGATGTTTTTGAGTCTCTTATCCTTGTTATTTCTGGGTCTATTTCTACTAACTAATTTTTTCTGCCTTGGTTATGGATCACATTTTTCTGTTTCTTTGATTGGATGCTGGAGACTACCAGTGTTACACTGTTGAGTGCATTTTGTTGTCTTTCTATGAAGAGTGTAATTTTTGTTTTGGCAGGCAATTAAGGTATTTGTAGCTTAGACTGATCCTTTTAAAGTTTGTTTTTAAGCTTTCTTAGAATGAGTTTAATTGACCCGGTGACTGCAACAATGGGCTAAAGCATAGCAAAGATTGTGAGGATGGCACAGGACTGGGCAGTGTTTCATTCTGTTGTACATAGGGTCACTGTGAGTTTGGAACCAACTCGACAGCACCTAACAACAACAACAACAACAACACGGTGAGTCTAGAGTACCTATACTCTAAGGGCTAATTTAGCTCTGCTACTTAGGCCTGACCCTTCTGAGGGCTCTGCCTAATCCCCAGGTGTTTAACGAGGTCACCCTACTCTGGTTTGTTGTAAGTCATGTGTCTTTCAGCCTAGTACGAACTCGGGATTGTTTAGCATAGAGCTCCCTAGTAGTTCTTTGCCCAGCCTCATGTAGTCTCTCTGTGTGTGAGCATCTGGTATTCAGCCAAGACTCAAGGGCATTCCTAGATTTCTGGAGCTCTTTACCTATGTAGCTCCTTTCTCTAAAGTACTCTGATCTGCAAATTCCAGCTGCCTCAGCTTTTCTGGATGTCAGTCTCTGTCTCTTCAACTCAGTGAGACTGCCATCATCTGCTTGGGTTTCGCACCCTCGGCCATGATCTGGCAAGCGCCTCCAGATAAAACCATGGCGATTGTAGGATTCACCTTGTTTCTTTCTCTTCTTTTGTGGATCATCCACCTGTACTGCCTGTTGTTCATTGCCTGAAGATGGTTGTTTCTTACATCTTGTCCAGTTTTCTAGTTGCTATGGCAGGAGGGTAAGTCCAGTAACAGTTATTCCATCATAACTGGAATTGGAAGTCCTTCCTATAACAATTAGATTATCTGTTGATCACCTATAAGATACTGCAAAGTTAATAAAACAGAGCAGATTATTTTTTTAATGAAACATATCTGTCTTTGTAATGCACATCTGTTTGATTTCTGCTAAAAATAGAATTTTCTAGGATAAAACTTAGACTGGATTTTTAAAATTCAGGTTTATTGAGGTATAATTGACATACAGTAAAATTTATTCTTTTTAGGGGTACTGTTTTATATGTTTTGATAAATATATGCAGTCTTGTTTACATTGTATAATCATAGTATATTGTGATTATACAGATATGGAACATTTTCTGTATCTGTATAGACAATCAAGATATAGAATGTTTTTCATTACCCCAAAAAAGTTCCCTCATGCACCTTGTAGTCAATCGCATCTCCCTACTCCCAGCTCTTGGCAACCACTGATCTATTTTCCAGTCCTATAGTTTTGCCTTTTCCAGAAGGTCATATAAATGGAATCATAAAATATATAGCCTTTCAAGCTTTGCTTCTTTCACTTGGCACCGTGTTTTTGAGATTCATCCATATTGTTGTTTATATCAGTAGTTTGTTCAAAAGACTAGATTTCATTTTTTTGAAATGAAATGAAAAATGAAAAAGCTGCTTATCTTAGTTTCCATTTAAACATAGGCAAATGGTTTAAAATTATAAAACAAAAAGGGCTAAGACCTTGTGTAGGAAAGCGAAGTTAAATGCTTAAAAATTCAGATAGATACTAATAAAGCAAAAATGATTAATGGACTTCCCCATCATGTTTACACTGTGCATCCCCTCCCTCCTGTAGGAGAGAAGAATGCCGAAGAGGCTGGATCTTTTGGTTTATTCTCGACCATCTCTACTGCTGTTCAGAGCACAGTGAGTAGAAAGAAAGTGCTGGGTGATCTACTCCCTCCCTTTATTATAATCGGTTTGCTTATCTTCAGTCATTTCTCCCTCTTTTATTTGGAAAGCAATGGGGACTGATTACTCTTGTGGGAGTCCATATCACTGGTAACCAACTACTTTGATCTTATGGATAGAGTCAAAGTGACTTAAAAACTTTCTTTAAAGAAATAAAAGAGGGAGTAGGAGATGGAAAGTAACAGAGAGGCAACATACATGTTTTATGGACTAAGAATTCTTAGTTTGGTGCCCCTAGAAAATGTTTTTGCTTTACAAAAATATTTTTCTCATAATTGCATCTTTTAGGCAAAAGGGAAAGTGTGAGCTTTATGATAGATACTTGTAAAAGTGTAGATGATTAGAAACATTTTGAAAAGTAATACGTAGGAAGCTTAATATCTTTCCTATATAAGGATAGATAGCTGGTACTTTTTTATTTTAACTTCTTATGGAAGAGTAAGATACCTACAGAAAAGTGAAATCACAAGTGTTTGATTTTCTTTTCACAAAGTGAGCACGTTCAGGCTAAGAAACAGAACATTACAGCACCTCAGATGCCCCCTTGTGTCCTCTCCCAGTTATCGCACCCCCTCAGCCAAGACAACAATTCTGATTTCTGTCATCATAAATGAATTTTTCTGGCTTTTGAGTATGTACTCTTTTTTGTCTGGCTTCTTTCATTCAACAATATGTTTGCGAGCTTTATCCATGTTGTGTGTGGTATAGTTTGTTCATTTTCTTTGCTGTATTCCATTGTGTGATTATGTCACAATTTATCTATTCCACTGTTGATGAGTATTGGGGTAGTTTCCAGTTTTTAGCTATTAAGAAGAGTGCTGCTACGAATATTCTTATACATGTCTTTTGATGAACCTGTATACGATTTCTGTTGGGTGTACGACTATGAGTGAAATTGCTGAATCATAGGACACGCATCTGTTCAACTGTAGTAGATACTGACAGTTTTCCAAAGAGGTTGTACCTGTTGACATTCCCACAGTGTATGAGTATTTCAGTTGCTCCACATTCTTGCCAATGCTTGATATTGTTAGCTGCTACTTTTATATAATCAAAACATGTAGACATGTTTTCTCAATACGGTTGTAATGAGGTTCCATGTGTTTTCTAGGGAAAGAGTGTTATCAGTGGGGGTTTGGATGCCTTAGAATTCATTGGGAAAAAGACAATGGATGTAATAGCAGAAGGAGATCCTGGATTTAAAAAAACCAAGGGTCTGATGAACCGGAATTCTACACTGTCTCAGGTACTATTTGTCTTTACCAGTTTATTTTCTGTTTCTGTTTTGATCTGAATTTTTGCCTATTCTAACTTAAGACCTTGTTAGCATTTCCTTTTGAAGAATTTTCAATGAGTTTTTATTAAGAGGGCTTTTATGTTTTTTGTTTTTTAACAGTGAGAGTACTAATGCTTAGGAAAATGCCCGACTCTTTTTTTTTCTCCTCTTTTCTTTCTGCAGGAGTCTCTTGGCATTTCAAGATACCAAGTTCTGTCAGAGTTGCTTATTTAGATTAATGTTTAAACCAACTTTGGGGAAACACCTGATTTCTTGGGTGTTATTTATGCTGTCTAGGATCAAATTGTATATTATCATTTTTATCCTGTAGCTCCTGAGCCTATCAGATTTGAATTGCAATGCCAAGAATGATAGGGCAGTGCTGTATACTGTAACTCATCTCAGCAGCACTTCTCTCAACTCTGAAAACCCACCCTTGAGCTCTCATTACTCGCTGCAATGTAATGCTTCCATCGCTTTTCAGGTTTTACGAGAGGCGAAAGAGAAAGAAGAGCTGTGGACCTGCAATGAGGTTACCGTGGAAACGGACAAGAAAACTCATTATGGGCTACTCTTTGATGAATTTCAAGGCCTTTCTCATCTAGAGGCTCTGGAGATGCTTTCCCGAGAAAGTGAAATAAAGGTAATTCCAAACCAAAAATTTCAACTGGGAAAAAGTCTTCAAGCAAAGGAATACTGCTTAGTTACTTTTTTTTTTGTAGAGTTAGAAGGTGAAATGCATTTCAAATATGGAAGCTTGAGACTCTCTGGAAATACTATACTGAAACAGAGAATAAACTAATGCTTGAACTAATTGCTAGGAATAGAGTGAATTAAGTGTTATTTCTCTAAATTTAAACAAAAAAGGGCAGATTAACAAAGCAGTCTTAATAGCACATCTGTTAGTTTTCCTTTACCTTGGCCTTTTTGTTTAGTTTCTTCGGCTTAAATTGCCAGTTTGGTTCAGGTACGTCTTGACTTAAGCTGCCAATTTGGATACAGTTGCCTGTTAGCTTTTTGTTGATTCAAGTCTGTTTCATTTCCTCCTTATTTCTAAGCTGTTATTAAACACTAATAATTTCCATACATTTCTGACTTGTATTATTTTAGGAAGTACAAATTCTCCCTAATAATCACTTCTGTAACAACCACTCTTATGTGTTAAGATTCTTGCAAGAAATCTTTGTGTTGACTGGTGAGCTTGTAACCCTGATATCAGTTTGATCTACAGTCTCTTTTCCATTTGAGAATGTTTTTCTTTCATACTCCCAGATGTTTTATTATTATCTTATATCCATCCAGGTGAAGTCTATTCTTAATTCTCTGAGTGGAGAAGAATTGGAGACTCTAAAACTTGAATTGGAGCAACTAAAAGAAGTATTTTCCCTAGCAGAGTTCACTGAGGAGGAAGAAGAGGAGAAAAAAGGTAATATGGAAATTCATTATCTTGAGTGGGGAAGAGGCGTTGTGTTTGCGTGCTGTACTTTGCCCTTGAAATAAATTATTTTCCCTCTAATGACACTAGCCCGATTTTACTTTTTTCAAGGGGAGTATTCACACAAAATTCTCTGCAACCTCATCTCTGAGTAGACATTGCAGTGAGCCATCAGCCTTATGCCTGTGTCTCCTCACCTCCCAACTCTTTGTAGCTTCTCCAAGTCTAATCTTGCAGGTCATATCTCTTGCCCACTTTTGCAGTTAGAGGGCTGCCCTTGTGAGATTCCTGCTTCAGTTCTGACTGGTCATTCCTAAGAGCTTTTATATCCCTAGAACCTTCACCTATACCTCTCTGACTCCTGTGACCCCTGACCCTGTCTTGAATTGAGCCATACAGGGTGGCAGTTATCCAAAATGTTGGTGATAGTTTTTCCCCCCCAAGAGTTTTTTTATCCCACATTTCAATATCTGCATCCCTCAGAAAGTGTAAATGTAGTAACTACTCATTTTTGCAGAATTATCAGGGAATGAGGTACTTTACAAAAAGCATATTTTCTGGGTAACTGAATCTTAATCTCTAAGGGCTGTTTTAATATTTTAACTGGAAATATTTCTAAGATATATTACACACTTGCTGGCCTTTTTTTTTTTTTTAAGTATGAAGAGTTTATTCGAGGTGTTATTGGGTGTGCATACAGGAGACCATTTTGTTTCAGAAAAACAAGTGGCTCAATACAGGCTAGGTGCAGTGAGGCTTTTAAGGAGAAGAGGAAACAGAAAAGTTAACCATAGGCTGGCCTCAACATGATTGAAATCATGACCCCCTTTCTGAGATCAGCTGACATCAGGTTACTAGATGGTTTCTGTGACCCACCCCATTCATCTGAAATTGTGTGAAGTTAAATTCTTTGCAAAGAAAAACTTTAAATGGCTTCATAGTTATCACAGATGTCTTATCCCAGATTTTATGATTTCCTTTGTCCACATGACTTTCTTTTTTTTGAACATGCTCATTTATTTATTGTTATTGTTTTTAAATTTTTATTTTGGAAAACTTAAAAATATTCCAAAATAGAATAGTCTAATGAACCCTCTTATACTGTACTCATCAATCAGCTTAATTGTCAACTCATGGCCAATCTTGTTGTAGTTTAAGTGAAAGGTTACATTTTAAGTTAGTCTCTTACACAAAAATTTATACGTACATTGTTATTTGACTCTAATTGCTCTCCCTGTACTGTGACAGCGCACTCCTCCTTTCCACCCCTGATTTCCCACATCCATTCAACCAGCTCCTAACCCCCTCTGCC